CCCTAAACCCTAAACCCTTGAACTTTGAAGCACCTGAGCCAGCCCAAAAGGCCTTTCAAGAGCTGAGGAAGTTGAGACCTCGGTCTCGGGGTAAAGAAACGGAATGGTTGATTTCACACCCATGGATCTTATGGGTGTAGGGTTTGGGGTTTAGNNGTTTAGGGCTGAGGGTTTAAGGCTTAGGGTTTAGGGCTTAAGGTTTAGGGCTTAGGGCTTAGGGTTTAAGGCTTAGGGCTTGGGGTTTTGGGCTTGGGGTTTTGGGTTTAGGGCTTGGCCTTTAAAGAACTGGAATCTTGGAGGCCTGCATCGCAGTTCCTGGGCCCAACACGGCGACTAGGGTTTCGGGTGTAGGGTTGGACTTCTGGTTTAGGGTTTAGGGTTCTACTGATGGCTTTAGGGTTTAGGGCTTAGGAACCACCGTGTTTTTTTTTCATAACTTCGGGAGTATTCAACATGGAGGCCAACATACTTCGGAAGGGATTGGGATGTTGCTTGCACGGCCCGGGGATGGGACGGAACACACAGCGCTAACTCATTAGAATTGGACCCAAGCTGGGGTCGACCCTCTGCCAAGCTCAGGGTTTAGGGCAAGCGACAGATTCCGGACAGATCAGAAACATCGCAAACAGCTGAGAACATTGAACTGTGGAATATCTGGATACAACTAGGACTTTTGTCATCCAGACGTTGCAAAAGACAGGAGACAGGAGAATACTGATGGGCTTTTGAAGTAGAAAACGCTTTGTTGCACGAACCCATAATCGACCCATTCCGGTGGTTACTTTTGCCTTGATCTTGCCCATACATGTATGTACCCCTGCAAATCTAGCCTCCGCCCCCGCATGTGTAACTCCAGTCATCACGGTCGTCTGCAAAAACTGTATGATATTCGTATGTCTCTTCCGAATGCGCTGTTTATGTAGTACACATCATCTAGCAGCCACTGCATTCGGGTTGCTACTCGCATGCCCATGAGTCTTATGTTTATCCGTATGCCTCTGTGTCTGCTCGTGACTACATCCGTAATATTCCCATCACAGATCTCTCTAGCGCTTAATGCATGTCTGTGTGTGTGTCTCCGTCTGCATGGCATGAACGGGCCTCTGCGGAGTTGTCTCAGCTTTTTGCCTGTCTGGGCAAGTTTGCTTCAGTGGTCTCCGGGTAAGGGTGTTGTTTGAAGGTCTGAGAAATTTGTAATTAGACCTATTGCCTTTTAATCTTGCAGGCCCAGCGTACGTAATTTCAACCATGATGCAACCCTAAACCCTAAAGCCTGAACCCTAAACCCTAGATCAGAGTTTCGGACTTTCGTGTTGGCTTCGGGCTGTAGCTTGCCAGCTCACGCTGAAGGAATGGAGTGACAATTCAGTGGGCTCCGTTTTGGGGATCC